CTGAGTGAGATGGGCCAGACATGCCCTGGAGCTATCCTGCGGTCCCTCCTCATCTGGCCAACCTCCCATGTCTCTCCTTGGCCCTGATCATGCACCAGTGGGGTCCCTCAGCCTGGCTGCACCCTCTCGCAATCTGGGACTCATCGGGGGATGTCGGAGAGCCCATTTTGGCCCGATCCCACAGGCCAGGCTGAGGGACCCCACTGGTGCACGAATTCATGCACCGGGCCTCTAGTAAAGAGATAATATTAATGAAACCTAACATACCTAGCTCATTGAACATTTGGTAAGGATCAGAAGGAGAAAATCAATGAGGAAAGAATATTAGCATCGATAGATTACTATAACAATAGAAAATACTGTATTTCTGAGGGAAATTGAAATGAAGCTATAATAACAATGATAACAATAAGCTGTAACGATAACAAAATAATAATAAACTACTATTGCCTTTTACATGATACCTCTGTTCCTCTGTTTCCCTAGGAGAATGCCATTCTGCAGTCATCCAGGCAGTGAAAGATTTGGATTTGTCTAAAGTTCTTCCTGTAGGTCGCCAGCATGGTATCTTAAATAGCCTTGAAATAGTATTGAAGAACATTAGCCATCTGATCAGTCCATACCTACCAAAGATCTTGCAGATACTGCTCTGCATGACAGCGACTGTGTCACACATCCTTGACCAACGAGAAAAGGTGAGAGAGATTCTCTCTATATGCTTTTGGGAGCGCTAGTAAGAGTCTGTGTTGTGTTTGGGAAATTGGTTACGACTTGAATACCTCACGTCCTTCCAGGTTAAATCTCTCTTATGCAAAGTGTCTTTAAAACAGTTTTTCATATAATGGAGATCTTCATTGTTAGCAGCATTTATGTATGGTCAGAAAATGCAAATTATATCAAGTGTATATTTTAAAAGGATATGAAATAGAGAGTGAGTTCTATATGCATCTCAGAAACCAAAGTCGGGCAGAGCCGAGTTGAGCTGATGTTTCTTAGATTTTAATTTAAGGACCTAAAGATGAAGGACATCTTCCAATTCTCATTTGTCCAGACAGCTAGATAATGAATAGAGTACTGTTAGCATTATCCTTGTTGTTTTGACAGAGTTACCCAGAGTTCTTTTAAAAGTAAATGCTCGATTGCTGTACATGCTGTGTTTTGACTACAGATAAGAAGCAAGGCCAGGCAAGACAAGCCAGCTAGCCAACTGCAAAAAACAAACAAACAAACAAAAAACAAACTTCATAAGGTGCTGCTCAGTAAATATTTTCTGAGTTGTATTTAAGACAGTAGTTAGTATGCTCTGTTGAAATAGGTGTGTGAACATAAGTAAACTCTGGAGTTCAGGGAAACTTAATGTCTTTATGGGCTAAAAGCTTCTGGAGAAAATAGAACGTGAAGTGAAAATTCAGACTCAGATTTTTGCTGTGGTTTCTCAGCTCATGATAAACAGACACAGCTTTAATTTGGCTAAAGTTTCATTTGTTTTATGGAGTTGCCTGGTGAACTGCCTCTCAAATATGGCCATGATAACTGAAAATTGACAGCCAAAATTTATGCTGCTTTTGGGGGCTGTGCATAGATATAAATCTGCTTTGGTAACGAAATAATATTCTCTGATTACCAAGATCCAGAATGCACCTTCCATTTTGGTAGTCACTGTTTTGTTTTCCTCTTTTTTTTCAGTCATTCCTTCAGCAAATATTAATTGAGCCCTACTCTGTGTGTGGCACTGATTTAAGCACTGGGGATGGAGAGTGAACAAAGCATTTGTCCCTTTCCTTGTTCAGTAAATACTTATTTCATCTGTGCTGTCTACCAGGCAATGTTCTAGGTGGGGAATTAGAAAGGTAAGGATTCAGTACCGTGTGGAGAAAAGTGAGAGGAAAATAAAATGAGACCCATTCGTAGATCTCTAAATGTCATTCTTTGTGGAGCTCTCTCCTGTCTAGTACCCTCTTCCCCGTGAATTTTAGCTGCCTCGGCCCACCCCTCAAACCCCATGGCTCTGTCTTCTCATCTTGGAAAGATGACTGGACTTTGCCTTCTCACACTGATGCCTGACACTCTCCAGGCGGAATGATGGGGAATGTGTAGGGCTCACCTCATCTGTTACTTCTCTATTGGGGCTTACTGTCATCTGCTGCCTGCTGTCCAGTGTCTGAAAATTATTGTTTCATATATTCTGGCAAATTGTCTAGTGTCAGAGAGGGTAGGCTAAATCTGATCCCTGTTGCTCCATTTGACTGGAATGGGAAAATCACCAGAAAGGAACAGGCAGACAGTCCTCCAGCTAACATTGGCTGGGAGTCCAATACCTTGAACAGAAACCTCCTGGTACCTGGGGCATCAAGAAGAGTCCGCGGCAGGGGATTGCCTCAGGAGTGGACCCAGATTAGCCCTGGGATTAAGGATGCTTTGGTGCCACCTTATAAAGCTGAAAAAGACCACACTTGTCCCAAGTAAATGAACTGCATCCCAGAACAGAACTCAAAAACATTCAAATGATTTTAAAAACAATAAAATTCACAGTGTCTGACATTCAGGCAAGTTTTACCAGGCATCCCAAGGAGGAGGACAATTTTATGCATGATGAGGACAAAAACTAGTCAATAGAAGCAGACTCAGAAATGACAGAGATGGTAGAATTAGATAGAGACTTAAGACAGCTATTAGAAATACACTCCATATATTCACAAAACTAGAGGAAAGCATGAACATGTTGAGGAGAGACATCAAGATGTGAAGAATTTAAAATAAAATAAGAGAATGTGGTAGGGAGTGACCAAAGTGGGAGTAGATGGGTGTTGCTTTAAGTAGGATGGTCAGGATCCTCACGCAGGAGGTAATATTTGAGTTTGCACCTATTAGTCCATGGGAAGAACATTTGGGGCAGAGATAATGGTTTGTAGCCTAAAGTCCCTGAGGATGAACAGCCTCGGCCCTTTCTGAGGACAGGGCAGAAGGACGAGGTGGCTAGCGCACAAGGACCAGGAAGAATCGTGTAATGAGCTCAAGAGGCAGGTAGGGCCTCATGGGCTGTGCCAAGGAGTTGGCTTTACTTCCAAGTGTACTGGGAAACCCCTGAGAGGTTTGTCGTAGGGGGGATGGTAAGCTCAGTTGGATGTTTTAAAAATACCACTTTTATTCCTTTGTGGAAAATAGACTGTGCGGGGGCCAAGAGTGGAAGCTGAGAAGAGGTCTTGGAGCCCTGGCTGGTGTGGCTCAGTTGGTTGGAGCACGACCCATGCACCATAGGGTCAGAGCAGGTTCAATCCCTGGTCAGGGCACCTATGGGAGGCAGCTGATCAATGTTTCTCACATCGATGTTTCTCTCTCTCTCCCTCCCTCCCTCTCTAAACTCAATAAAATATCCTATCTCGGGTGAGAATTAAAGAAAAGAGAGATTTTGGAAGATTCTTTATGTTATGAGGATGATAGGAAGCATTATGTAAAAATTCTCTTTTATGCCTTATAGCAAGTGACTGCGACTTTATCTCTACATGGATACGTTAAATCCTGAATGGCTAAAGGTTTTTTGTTAATCCACACCCTAGGATATTTTTTTCATTGAATTTTAGAAAAAGTGGAAGTTTAAGAGAGGGTGGGAGGAAGGGGGAGAGACAGATGTGTGTCTCTCTCACATCAATTGGTTGCCTCCCACACACTCCCCAGTCGGGGCCGGGGATCGAAGATGCCACCCAGGTACGAATCGAACACATGACCCTTTGTAGCACGGTCCAACTCTCTAATCACTGAGCTTGCCAACTAGGGCTGGTTAAAGGTTTTATAAACCCTCTGTAAGTCTTCCGCCTTTTTGGTTAAGGTAGAAGTCAATCAGTAATACAGCCTTGCTCCTGTGTCAACAATCAGTAACTCAGAGGATCATTTGTGCAATTTCACAGTTCATTAGTCAGTGAGTTGCTAAGCTTCTTGACAGGTAGGCATTTCTCTTATTTTTTAAAAAAATTCTTGGACAAATCCAAAGAATTCTTTGAGGTGCTATAATGGATTATTGCACAGTAATATTGCTTAAATAAGTTAAAGTTCTACCCTTGTGTGTTTGAACTACATGACACATTTACTTTTGGATCTTTCAGATCCTCTGAGGTATTGACTGGTACTCAGATGTATATTGTGAGGGTAGCTTTGGTTTGGCTTTATTTTTCTTTACTTTTAAACAGTGGAATAACTTGGAAACATACATAAACTCAGGCCTGTTGGTTATTCCTCTAGAAATTAAAGTCCATAATTGCTGGCTTGCAGGATTTTCCTCCAGTTTATCCAACAGTTAGTGAGCAGATTGGGCAGCTGGTGCTATAGTTGCAGAAGTGAATGGAACACACAGGTCCTACCTCACAGAGAGGGGGCTTGGTAGTGCGGTTGGGGGAAAGGTGGAGGGGGTCTGATTTGATACCGTGTTTGCAAAGATTAGTTTCTCATTTGCTCCAAGGAATCATGATACCATGTGGGTTTTTTTCAAATATCATTAGTAGTTTTTATCTTTCACCAAACATGATACAGCTGATAATTTTTGCCAGTAGAATTGAAGCTGTAGAACAGAATGACTTGTAACTGTGTCACCTTATCCTTGCCTGTCATTTCCTGTCTTTGTGACTTGTATAAGGAGATAATTAAACAAAAGTACATGGTAGAAGCTTGCTGGGTATGTGAAATATCATGATTCCTCAGACTGCACAGCAAATTAATGGTGTCCCTGTACCTATTCACTTGAATTGAAAATGTGCACTTCCCGATTCAAATACCTCTGTTTATCAGAATATTAGGTCTTCATGAGAAATAACTTCCCTTTTAATTTTTTCATAAGATCTTGGCCATAAGATTTGATATTCATTTATTAGAGCATTTGTGTTGTCTTGAGAAATTTCAGGGTAGTTTTTAGATTTTTATGTAGGTAATTAAAGTCATATGTAAAAATAAATTGCCACTTATAGATCCAGAGTCCACGGTATATTTATCAAGTGGAAAAATATTGAGGGGTTGGGTCTTAACCCATGTGTTTTTATTTTTTGTATTGTTTTAATATATATTTTTATTGATTTCTGAGCGGAAGGGAAAGGAAGAGAGAGAGATAGAAACATCAATGATAGAGAGAATCATTGACTGGCTGCCTTCTGCACAACCCACACTGGGAATTGAGTCCACAACCCAGGCATGTGCCCTGGACTGGAATCAAACCCAGGACCCTTCAGTCTATAGGCCGGCGCTCTATCCACTGAGCCAAACTGGCTAGGGCCCATGTGTTTGGATTTTACAAATTCTGTGCTCGGGAGAAATCTCTCTGAGGCCTTTTTCTCTCTCTCTCTGCCTAGCCTAAACATCTTCATCCTTTAAAATCCATTGGAAATTCTGCCTCTTCCATGAAGCTTTACCCTTCTCAAATTTATAATTCCTCCCCTCTCAGATATCTTTGGCATTTTCAGTCTCACATAATTTAATAAATTTTCCTTCATTAAGATTTTATGTATATATATATACTTTTAAATCCCTAGCCAAGGATATGTTTATTGACTATAAAGAGAGAGAGGGAAGGAAGGAGAGAGACAGAGACAGAAACATCAATTGGTTGTCTCGTATAAGCACCTCGCCTGGGGATTGAACGAACCTGCAACCTGGGTATGTGCCCTGACCTGGAATTGAACCCAGGACCTTTCACTGTACAGGATGAAGCTCTAGCCAACTGACCCACACTGGCCAGGGCCTTCAGTAAGATTTTAAGCTGAGGTCAGGACTATGGCTGTCGTGCCATTGGACCCAGCAGTGGGACTCAGTAAACTGTTCCACTCTGAGCCAGAACCAAATGCCTTCATATTTGTGATTTCTCTAATTCCATAGAGAAGGAGATGCCCCGCAAAGAAGCAGTGTCTGCCAAAAGAAGGTGCTGTTAATTCAGACACCCACCCACTTCAGCTTTGGTGCCTCTAAAGAGACACATCTTGTTTTCTTAAAAATTACATTTTTCTTTGAATTACATATTTCGAGATCTTCCCTTGCCTTATCAGTCACCACAAAGTATTTCACTGTATAGAGAGAGCATAAAATCTTTAGCTAGTTCCCTAGACTGAGTTTAACAAGAATAATTTAAAACTCCTAATTTTAACCAAGGTAAAAAAAAGAAGAAAAAATTACACACACACACACACACACACACACACACAGAAGAATGTGACTTTCATTTGGAATGAAGGTTTAATATATTTTTCCCTAATCTAAGGCTTTGTGATGCCAAAAAATAAATAAAGCTTTGTTTTGTTGAGAGTATCTGTTCATACAAAGAAATCAGGATTTTATTTGAGACAATTACTTGAGTAGAGAAATGCAACAATGTGGAACACAAAACAGCCGTTCCAGTTGTGATTTTTTGCCCCTAAGTTATGCTCCATTGTGATTTTACTGGGTAGTGATAATAGAGCACATCTCACCACTTGATTTTTTAGGTCTTTGCTTCCCCATCTTGTCCAATGAGAAAACCAACATGACTTGCACAGTTGACATTTCTGTGTGAATCAGAGCCAAAGTCAACAGACTTAATAAGATTTCCAGTTTGATTCTTAGCTGTCTGAGCTAGAGTGCCTCCCTGAGAAGTCAATGATTAAAATGATGTATGTATTTTTTTAATAGAAGATCTTTGCTTTACAGATACAGCTGAGGTTTATCAACCCCCTGAAAAATTTAAGACGTCTTGGAATCAAAATGGTAACTGATATCTTTTTGGATTGGGAGTCCTATCAGTTTGGAACAGAAGAAATTGATGCTGTATTTCATGGTGCAGTTTGGCCCCAGGTAAACCTTGATGTACATTCTGCCTGGATACCTTTGCTTCTTCCTTTGTTGTTACTGCACCAAGCAGAGTCTACACTCAGACATGAAAGAATGCCTGTCCTGGTCTTTTATTTCCGGAAGTTTCAGAACTCTTTCTTTGCCTCCACTACCACCTGAAGCTCAAGAGCTAGTTCCTGCAATGCCATGGCAGTTATTCTTAAGGCTAATTTGAATATGATTGTGTCCTTTACACAATATATAACTTGTAGCACCTCACATGATGTGTCTCTGGATGTTGAGGGGAAATACACAGATAGTTTTGTCACACGTTTCCTTGTGTGATTTCTCTGGTTATAACCACTTGGTGACAGTTAAGGTTACTTATTGCAAAGAAGACTATAGGAGAGCCTCGATTTTAGCAGATTTCTAACTGTTTGAGCTCTGTCATCTCTGACCAGTTGAACTTAAGCTCCCTGGTTCCTTTCAGGCATCTAGCATTTCCATGCAACATCTTTGCCATTTTTCTTGTGTAGGTGTTACTTGGATTACCTTACATTTTCCTCATTCTGTCCTTTAACTGTTAATCTCTGCCTTCACTCTTTTATCCTTTGGTGCGGTTTCCATGTCTGTTCTGCTTTTTAGTTTTGTTTTTTCTAAATTCTGTATATGTTATTATTTTGTATTCTGTTTTTATTTTTTTCCTAGATCAGCAGGCTTGGAACTGAGAGTCAGTATTCTCCTACTCCTCTGCTGAAACTAATTAGTATCTGGAGCAGAAATGCAAGGTATAGCCTCCCCTCTCCCCCTTTTAAAAAGAGCAGGTAATTTAGCCAAGGGCACTAATATGACTTATGGTCTTTCCATGCAGTGAACTATTGTAAGTGCAGTTAAAGAGAATAAGGCAGTTGTATCTTAAAAATACACAGTTTAAAGAAAACATAGTTGCTGAACAATATCCTATATAATAAAGAATATGCAAATTGACTGTCGTGCTCTCACACAAGATGGCCTCCCCCATGTGGACACAAGATGGCCGTCAGGGGAGGGCAGTTGGGGGCAACCAGGCCAGCAGGGGAGGGCAGCTGGGGGCAACCAGGCCAGCAGGGGAGGGCAGTTGGGGGGGACCTAGGGGTGACCAGGCTGGCAGGGGAGGGCAATTGGGGGCAACTAAGCCAGCAGGGGAGGGCAATTGGGGGCAACTAGGCCAGCAGGGGAGGGCAGTTGGGGGCGACTAGGCCAGCAGGGGAAGGCAGTTGGGATCAGGCCTGCAGAGGAGGACAGTTGGGGGCAACCAGTCTGGCAGGGTAGGGCAGTTGGGGGCGACCGGGCCAGCAGGTGAGAGCTGTTGGGGGCGACTGGGCCTGCAGGGGAGGGAAGCAGTTGGGGGCGACCAGGCCTGCAAGGGAGGGAGGGCAATTGGGGGAGGGCAGTTAGGGGTGACATGCCCTGCAAGGGAAGGCTGTTGGTGGTGACCGGGCCGGCAGGGGAGGTCGATTTTGGGCGATCGGGCTGACAGGGGAGTGGTTAGGGGCAATCAGGCTGGCAGGCAGCAGTGGTTAGGGGCAATCAGGCAGGCAGGCGAGCATTTGGAAGCCAGCAGTCCCAGATTTTGAGAGGGATGTCCAACTGCCGGTTTAGTGAGATCAGGCCTAAACCGGCAGTTGGACATCCCCCGAGGGGTCCAGATTAGAGAGGGTGCATGCTGGGCTGAGGGACACCCCCCACCCCACCCCAGTGCATGAATTTCGTGCGCTGGGCCTCTAGTTATAGTATAATTCAAGAAAATGCTTATGCATGTATGCAAATAGAAGATGAAATAGAAAATGTCTAGAAGGACATATGAGAAGCTGTTGATTTTACTTTTTGCATGTATCACTATGTCATGAACATGTCCCTGAGTCACTAAGTAGTCTTCAGAAACACACTGAAGAAGATCTTGATTTCCTCCTCAGGAAACCCAGTTACATTTTTACTGGTAGGAAGGGCTCATTTATTTCCCAATGAGGATGCACTTTCATATCTTGTTTCATCACTGGATATTTGCAAGCAGCATTCCATAGGCACACTGGAGAAATGTTTTATGTTTGTGTAATTTTTATGCAAAGGAGCCACAAAGGGCTTTCATGATAGTGACTCAGTTTTATGTTAGTTGGGTCCTTCACAAGGTATAGATCTGCATCACTGGATGCCACTCATTGTCTTCTGCATTTTCTCTCTCATTTTTGTTTGGAGTCAAAATAGAAGCTACATGGTTATAGAGGAGGTGAGTGGCAGAACTTTATTTTTCTTTTCTATTTCACACTTACCTGGTAGAAATCTTTAGAAGGGTGGACTTCTCTAGAATCCTCCACAGCAATAGATATGCCTGCGCAGCTGTGTGTAGAGTGAGTGTTTCAGAACCACTTGATGGGAATGTTACTCTTCAATAAATTTTTATTTTGAAATATGGCTCCAGTTTCATAGCGTCAGTGAGACATTGCTTACAACTAAGGTTAAATTATCTTAGAAATTGGGTGCATTCAGGACAACAAAAACTTGCTTACTAATTAGAGTGATCATAGCCCAGCTGGCATGGCTCAGTGGTTGAGCATCGACCTGTGAACCAGGAGATCACAGTTCGATTCCCGGTCAGGGCACATGCTCAGGTTGTGGGCTCCATCCCTAGTGTGGGTTTTGCAGGAGGCAGCCAGTCAATAATTCTCTCTCATCATTGATAGTTGTATCTCTCTCTCCCTCCCTCTCTGAAATCAACTAAAACTTTTTTTTTTTAATAGTGTGATCAGCCCTAGTTGGTTTGGCTTAGTGCAGTGGTCAGTAAACTGTAGCCCCTTGAGTGTGGTTCTTCCACAAAATACTATGTACGCGTGTGCACATACAGTGCGATTGCAACTTCGTGGCCACACTCAAGAGGCCAAAGAGCCGCATGTGGCTCGCGAGCCGCAGTTTGCCGACCACTGGCTTAGTGGATAGATTGTCAGCCTGTGGACTGAAGGGTCCCTGGTTCAATTCCCAGTCAGGGCACATGCCTAGGTTGCAGGCTCAGTCCCCAGAACGGGGAGTGCAGGAGGCAGCCGATCAATAATTATCTCTCATCATTGATGTTTCTATCTCTCTCCCTTTCCCTTCCTCTCTGAAATCAGTAAAAATATATAAAATAAAAGTAGAGTGATCATAGAGTCTATTGTCCAAACTAAAACATTCCTGAGGGTGAAGAGATGCTACAAACTATTAAGCCATAAATTGGAACTGTTCTTGGCCACTCTCTTAATAGCTGCTCTGGTTCTGGCCACCATGACCCCTGAATGATTTAGTCTTTTCCTCCCCTGAGCTCTTTTCTCTCCTGGAAGACCCTGTGACTACATACTGTCTTTTTTTATTTTTTTTAATTGATTTCAGAGAGGAAGGGAGAGGGGGAGAAAAACATTAATGATGAGAGAGAATCATTGATTGGCTGCCTCCTGCACGCCCCATTGCTGGGAATTGAGCCAGCAACCCCTGGGCATATGCCCTTGACCAGAATCAAACCCGAGACCCTTTGGTCTATAGGCCGATGTTCTATCCACCGAGCCAAACCAGCTAGGGCAACATACTGCCTTTATTACACTCTTCTGTCTTCAGAGCTTACCTGCCTAATGCTCCTTGAAGGCAGAGACCATTTTGTATATATTGTATCTCCCTCCATAGAGGGTTACCCCTCTTAATCCACAATTAGTCATTATTCATTGCCTGTGATGAAGTGCTTAAAGTTGCTGGCTGAGCCGTACACTCAAGCATAGAGCATACCCATGTGGGCTTCAGTTCTGTTGTTCAAGAGGCACACTTAGAAGTGGCGTCAGATCTGATGGGCTCTCGCTAGGACCTTGCAATTGAAAGCAGTTCTCTCACCTTTTCTGTTTAAAAACATCTTAAGATAACCTACAACATAGTGGTAAGAGTCGTCGCTGAAGCCACACAAATCCAACATCAGGTTCTAGCACCACTGTATGTTTCTTGGCAAAACTGGCTTTCCTGAGCCTCAGTTTGCCACCCGTAAAATGGAAATAATAACAGTACCTACCTCATTAAAAATATGTAAAGCGTCTTCTTGGTGCCTGTCTATGCTGTGCCAAGTATCTATTGGACAAAGATGTATGAATATAATCTTTTAGAACTTTTCTATCAGTGTGTCAGTGCTAAGTAAATGAAAGTGCCTGGGGTCTTTTTCCCAGTGATGATTGACCTTCCTACTAGAAGTAAGGATTACCTGTCTGACTGTAAAACAGCTAATGATTTGCCCTCGGCTGGAATGCCTCTGTGCCCTCCACCCAAGCTGGTGTGTTTCATGGCCCAGGATGCTCTCGTCGTCTGAGAGTCATTCAGTATTGGGGATGGACTCATCCACCTCCCCCGACAGATGGCCCTAACCTCTGAACAGTGCATATCCTGACACAGCAAGGCTGATCATTGAAAAATAGCCAGTCAACAATACATTTGTTTAGACTCTGGAGATTCATGGTTCTAATCTCAGCTCTACCACTTATTAGCTCCAAGGCTTGGAACAAATCTGTTTCTTCATCTATAATATAGAGATAATGATACTACCTCACAGAGATGTTATGATAATTAGATGAGAAATGTGCATAAAGTGCCTATGTAATGATGTTGGTGAAGTGCCTAACATTATTATCCATTGAATTTTAGACTTTAAAGTAACTTACCTTTTGAGTATCTTATTAAGATTCCTATAACACATATTTGTTAAACTGACTATGAAAATTCACATAGAAGATATTTTTAGAAATAAGCATTGAGAAATAAGATGACTATTTCAGTATTATTTTTCCTGCAGATACTTCCCTTTTCTGGCTAAACAGAAACCAGGGCACCCAGAATGTGACATCCTGGTCAATGTTTTTGCGATTCTCTCAGCAAAGAATCTCTCTGAAGCCACAGCCAGTATTGTGATGGACATAGTCGACGACCTTCTCACCCTTCCTGATTTTGAGCCCACAGAAACAGTCTCGAGCTTGCCCGTGACTGGATGCGTGTACACAGAAAATACAGACGGTATGTGTGCTGCACCAGGCAAATGACTCTTAGACCTTTGAGGTAGCATTTGTTCCCTCAGAAAGGAAAAAGTCAGTAGAATTTGACTTTTCTTTTTTTTAGAAATGGATACCAATTTCCATAAACTGAGTTTTCTTTGCAGTGGTAGAAATTCAGGTTACTCGCGCTCCAGAAAGCACAACTATCTTCTGGAAAATGATCAAATGATTTTCACTGTCATGTCTCTGAATTGTTCCTACCATATTGTGCTAACAATTCTTTCACCACTAACAAAAATGGCTTAAGGGTCTCATATCAACTTTTCATTCAGCCATTTTGTCTAAGAAGAAAGTTATTTAATTTTTAGAGTTGAAATTTATTAAACTTGCATAGTAATTGAGTGCTTCCCTTGTCTGTCATTATGAAGGTACTGTACAGTTATCCTATAAGAGAGTAGTTAATTAAAATCAAAATATTTGTCACCATTTATTTCAGAGTCTATCACAATAGGAGGACGATTAATTCTACCTCATGTACCTGCAATTCTCCAGTATCTCAGCAAAACCACAATAAGTACAGAAAAGGTGAAAAAGAAAAAGAACAGGGCACAAGTCAGTAAGGAACTGGGCATTCTTTCCAAGTAAGTGATACATATTCTTAAAAGATCACTTCACCGTCCATGGTCTTCATTTTTTTAAATTATATCTAGTTTTCAGTTGTTTAAATGTGATGATAAGAAGCTAAAAAGATTTTCAGTATTTTTGAAGGCCCTTTATTTTTAAGTTAGTGTAGAATTCTGTTTCTCTGCTGGAATATTCATTTTAAACCTTTTATGGCATCTGCCTTCATTTAAACATAAAAGAGAACAGACTTCAAAATTCTAAAGTAGACTAATAGATTTGCTTGTTTCACCTGTGCATGTTTTGTTCAGTTAAAGTTTTAGTAACATGAGATCATACAGTGTTTTTGTTTCTTAAAATATTTTTACTGATTTTTAGAGAGAGAGGAAGGGGGTGGGAGAGAAAAACATCCATGTGAGAGCAACACATCAATCAGCTGCTCCTGTATGCCCCCTACCTGGGATGGAGCAGTAACCTAGGCATGTGCCTTGACTGGGAATCAAATTGGCAACCTTAGTGCATGGGACAATGCCCAACCAACTGAGCCACATGGGCCAGGGCATAATCATATAGTTTTTATTTTGTTTTTACTTTGATTGATAAAAATAATTAATTTAAAAGAATAGTTTGTTTTTTTACGAGTTAAGATCTCGAAAGGGTTTTTAAAGATTCTCTTTGGCAATAGACCCAGTAGTATATAGTTATGATTTATATAAAGAGCAAGGTTGGTAAACCTGAGTACAAAACATGATTCTATCTTAAGCTTTAATTGTTTTAGGACTCAGTTGTTGAAACTTTATTTATTCTTTGATACTTTCACCAACATCAAAAAGTTGTATGTTAGAATCTTCCATGAACTTCTTCTAAACATTTCATTTATACTATTGTATTTCTAAATTATGTAGAGTGGAAACCACACTGAATGCACTGGTTAAATTTTAGCACAGGCTCTGTGGTAGTGGGAAGATGATAGATCAGGCACCAGAAAAACCAATGTTCCCAGATGGATGACATCAACTTCTCTGAGTCTCGGTCCTCTGGGGAAAGTGGAGCTAATAAGTCCACTTTGGTGGGAGTTAAATTGAACTACTTTTTGTAGTCTTAAACAAGTCTTGGCACTTAAAATTGTTATTTCCTTGTAAAATAGGAAATTACTAATGGCCAGATTGTAGCATTGGAATTTACTTTAACCCACCTAAACAATCAGACATTACAAAAGAAATAGAACAGTAGCTGGAGAGAAGAATGGGCACTGCTGAGAACTGAGTTAGACTTTGTTTACAGGCACACATACTTAGTCATCTGTGACTTTGGCCACTGATGTTTTCTACAAAAAGTTTTAACTCCTTAGAGAAATACGCTTAACTTGTTTGTTTTTCTTACCTATCAGTTCTTTTCCTTCTCTAGGATCAGCAAGTTTATGAAAGACAAAGAGCAGAGTTCTCTCCTCATTACACTACTGCTTCCCTTCCTCCACCGTGGCAATATTCCTCAGGTATACACACAGGACGTGACTTTGCCTTTGATTAGGGTTATTTGCAAACAGTAATTTTATTGGTTAGATTCTGTGATGTATTTGCCTTCAAGCATTTATGAAAAGATTTATACAGAATTATAAACTTGAAAATAGAAGAGAAAAATTGGGACAGAATTTCGGGAATGGGGAGACATCATCTACTGTAACAGTGTAAGTGTCATCCCCTTTTTTCCTTTGCTTAGCTTCTCATCCATTTCAGGATTTTGTTTTTCCTGACTTTGATCAATTACAAATCTGGAACCCAAGAAGTGCATTGTGTAATCTCAAATACGGATCACAGTGGCAAAACTGAACGAAAAGTCAGACTGTTTTAATATTCAGACATAGCTAAGAGTTTCTCATATGATTTTCAAACCCCAATTCAGACTGATTAAAAGAGTCTTCCTGTGGCTCAAACTCATTTGCCAGGCCTTAGTAGTTATACTGGGCATCTACTATGTAGTAATTCTGTTTAAAAAACCACAGATCTGGGCATAACCAGAGGCGTAAATTCTTCACCAAGCTCATGTTTCTTGGCTCTCTTTGACTTGACAGTAGGAGAAAAGTTGTTTGAAGACCATGTATATTTTCTATTAGAATTAAAGGAAGAAACTATTTATGGACATTACTGTGGGTTTTATGTTAAAATGCTAAGAACTTTTAAAAGACTATGGAACAGCTTTTCCAATGATGAGTTTTACTTCTTATTCATAATTATTTGTTTTGTGTGCTATAATGTATTAAAGCCAAGTTGGCCAGTTTTATAAATTATTGAAATGTAATTTCTCTTCCTCTT